TTCCTTTCCTTTCCTTTCCTTTCCTTTCCTTTCCTTTCCTTTTCTTCTGGTTGGACCTATTTTGGAAAGTGTGCCGGATAATTGATGTAGCCTAGAACCCCTTGGGAAGAGACTCTTTTCTTTTTATGGATGTTTTTTTCTTTCCTCTATTTTTAGATAAGGTCTCACTGTGTAGCTGCTCTCGGCCTGGCACTTGCTGCACAAACCAGACTGGCCTCAAAGTCAGAGTGATGCATCCACCTAACCTTGCCTCTTGAGGGCAAGAACTAAAGCTGTGTGCCACTACACCCTAGTGCTAGAAGAGTTTCAATTGAGGAGTTATCTGGGTGGCCTGTGGGCAAGCTTGCAGGAGAGCATTCTGGTTGTCAGAGCTACCCTGAATGCTAGCTCATCTTAGGGACTGAATCCTGGACTGTACACAGTGAAGATAGCTCACTGAGCACAGCGCAGGCAAACAAGGATCCTTTCCATTCTTCCTCTGCTCTTCACTGTGGATGTGGTGCCTGGGGTTCCCGCCTTGACCTCCCTGAAATGGGGGACTGTAACCTGGAACTGGAAGTCCAATAAACCCACTTTTTGTCGGGACACATTATCACTCAGAAATGAAACTAGAGCAGGAAGTCGTCAGCCTCTTCTTGCATCTCCTTGCCCCATGTGGCTGTGCCTCCACTATGGTTGACATCCTCAGCGGGGAGGAGTGAACAGGTTTGGGGAGTCACTTGTCTCTGCCTAAGAGGGTTTGGCTCTGGCCTTGGGAAGCGCTGAAGCCTTGTGTGCAGGGAGAACTTTCTGGAAAGGTATGGCCTGGACCAGAAGACCCAGTTCTATTTGTTTACTCAGATAACAGGAAGACTAACAGCTTCTAACCCTGAAGGCAGTACCCACAGGCCTCTAGAGTATAGGTGAGGGATACAGCTAACAAAGAGTTATAGCTGACCCACAATCCCAACCCAGGCTCCTCCCTACTCACCCAGGCTCCTCTCCCCGCATCCAAGCTCCTCCCCATCTCCCCAGCCTTCTCCCACCACCCAGGCCCCTCCCTACCCACTCAGGCTCCTCCCCACCCACCAGGAGTTCTTTCCCATCTACTTGCAGCCTGACTATGTAGATCATAGAATAACCAATTAAGTGTCATCTGGCTTCCCAGAGCAGGAGCTTGTCATTCTGGGATGGCTTCTAATGGAAGCTCAGGAGCTGCTTTCCTTCCAGTGAGCAGCAGACACTTCCTGGGGGTTTCTTTCTGTTCTCTGGAGACCTGAGTAACAAAAGCCCACTGGTTCAAAAACTGGTTTTCCCTTCCTGGCATAACAGGCAATCTGGAAACATCCTGCCTTCGTAACCACCTTGTGAATATTCATTGTTTTCTGCTAGAGCATCCAGATGCCCAGTGGAGAATTCGAGAAGTGAGGAAGCTCTGAAAACCAGGATCCCTTCTCATATGCAGAGAAGCTTTTCGTCATAAACACTGGGAGAAGAAAGAATTATTCAGTAATGAGCTTTTCCCTCTCATGGGACTTGGCTACTTAAAGAAGTGATAATCTCTGTGGCTCAAACCCCACCCTGGTTACTCTGCTCCAGTTACTATGTGAACCCCACACCCACATCATTGTTTTCCCTTCCTGGCTTAAAAGAACACCACAGGACATGGTTGCTGTGGCGATAGGACCCCGGTGAGCTTCAGAGAGTTCTCAAGGGGTGTCTGCTTCTCTGACCACCACAGCTACTTCTCTTCTTGGGCTCTGAGGGTCCCATGACTTTTACATATGCATGGAAGTACACAGAGGATAGAACTGGAGACAAGAGGGCAGATTCTAGAAGCCACCCATAGGCCACACTGTCTGGAAAAAGCCTCTGCCACTGGTGCTGAAGTATGGTTCTGGTACTCAGTCTGAACCAACATCTGCATGATGGACACTGTAATTCCATTTTGCTCCCAGAGAGCTTTGGTTTTGTATGTCTTTTGGTGCTGGTGGTCTTGTCTGGAGTAGGTGTTTCCAAGTCCTTGGTATCTTGTTCTGAGAGCTGAAGAATCACACACAAATAAGTCAAGTAGCCTGTTGTTGTTGTTGCTGGTGGTGGTGGTGTGTGTGTGTGGGGGGGGGGGTGAGTCAGAAGCAAAATGAAGGTCCAGGCCAGATACATTGCAAGAGAGTACTGGGCTACCTGAGGTGGAGGGGCCTCCTTTACGGGTACCAGAAGGAAGAGGAGTTCGTTACTTAGAGTGGAAAATGGGAGGTTTTCTGTGTTGATTGACAGGCTTGCATTACGTAACCCTTTATTGATTACCCATTACGTAATCCTTCGCATGATGCATGTGATTTTAATCATATGCATGTCTAAATATGCACAGGGATAAGATGGTGAACAGCATTCTTTGTTTGTTTCCCCCCTAAAAGCTCATTCAAAAAACACAGTTTGCCTTTTTGTACCTAGACCCCCAAGTCAGTTTAGGTTGGGTCAGCCCCTGCCTCTAGCTGCTGGGTATGTTCTGAGTGGAAACTAACCACAAAAAGGAGTTACCACACAGCAGCACATCCACTTGCCTCTGCCTCTGGAGTGCCAAGTTTTGTTTTTTGTTTTCTAATGAGCCACATTTTCTTACAAGTCTTTAAAACAATAAAAACTGATTTAAAAAAATGTTGCAAAAGGTCTTTGATCTTTAAGGTTCAGTGACTAATCGAAAAGCACTTTCAGCCAGGTGTGGTGGCACACTCAGGAGGCAGAGGCAGGAGGATCTCTTTCAAGGCCAGTCTGGCCTACAAAGTGAGTTCCAGGATGGCCAGGGCTACACAGAGAAACCCTGTCTCAAAAAAAAAATCAAAGAGAAAGAGAGGGAGAGAAGGGAGGGAGGGAGAGGGAGAGGGACTGTTCTTGCAAGAGTCCAAAGAGGGAGAAAATCAACCCCAACACCCTCAATATGCTTGGTGTCTGTGTCCTCCAGGTTGTATGTACTTTGTTGCCCATATCTTCCTTCCCTGTCCCCCCA